GTGGAATTTAATTATGGTGAATTCCAGAACATAATTCCTGAACAATGAATTACCATGCAGTAGAGATTATTTTAATAGGTCAGATCTAGGACTTCAAGGACAGTTTGTTGGGGTACAAAATAGTAAAAAAAATCCAAAACAAACTAAATATTATCATTTAGCTACAATTATTTTTTAGAGTCATTGAAAACCCCCCAAAGTCATAGACTTATACTGGAATTTCTTTCTTATGTGATGCACTATGGTAGCAGTAGCTTTCTAGAGTGTAGATGCTGCTCAGACCCATGCATATAATACAATATCCACTTTGTATAAAACAAGATGAGTGTCATTCAGGGGTGGGATTCAACTAGTGTTACTACCGGTTTGGTGACTGCATTTTGTGCGTGCCTGATGCGCACTTTGTGTGCGTGTAAAAAACCTTAAGCTGTGCTGCCCACACAACTGAAAAGCACTGTGCGCAGGTCCTCAGCGTTTGAAAAGCCTCTTTTTTCCTGCTTTTTCAACCTCAACTGTGCCACACAAAGCAGCTGAGGTTGAAAAAGCGGGAAATAAAGGACAGGTAAGAGCCCGGGTGGGCAGGTGGGCCAAACAGCAGCAAACACAGAACAGTTCAGTGTCTGCTGCTCTTCAAAGCTACCAGTTCTATAGAGCCAGGCAGAACTGGTAGCATCCCACCCTGGGAAGATCAGAAGGTTCCAGAAAGTTTGCATATTTTTAATCAGGAGTGGGCTGCTGGGGGTTCACAGGGGTTTGGGAGAACCCTAGCTACAATTCTGTGCAGTTTGGAGAACCCCCAAATCCCACTCCTGGCTGACTCCACCCACCCTGCCCCTCCCCTCCCATGAGTCCCCACACAGCCCATTTTGGATGCAGATAAATGCAGGGAGTGCACAAAGGCTCGGGGAGGGTGAAAAACAGGCCTCCTGAAAGTTTGGGAAGGCCAGAAATGGGCCCATTTCTGACTTTTAGAGAGCCTCTGGAGCCCAGGGAGGCTGGTTTTGTCCTCCCAGATGCTTGAGGAAAGCCTCTGGAACCTGGGAGGGCAAAAACACCTCCACCATGGTGTAGGAGGCCAACTAGGCCACACCCACCATGGCCACACCCACCCAACAACTGGGCAGAGAACGCTTTGCTAAATTTTTTGAAGCCCACCCCTGTTTTTAACCCCTTATGGCATGGCAAATGCAGATTTAAATTGCTGTCACTTTTAAACATCTAATGTTTGTGTGGAAATATGCAGATCATCATCATAATTTTTAAAAAAATAATAATTCACAATTATGTTTCTGTACAGGTTCAATTTCCTTTTCCATCAGGCCTAACCTTTATTATTGACTCCTGGAAATTACCTAGAGAAGTCTGTGCAGTTTTCTTGGAAGATTTCAATAGTGGTTTATCTTGCATTCTTCAGGGACTGAGACAGGCAGTGACTGGTCAAGGTCACCCAACCGATTTTGTCTCTTAGGGAAGACTCAACCTCAGGGTTTCATCGTTTATATCCTGGTGCCTTAACTCACTACCACCAAACCTGTTCTCTTCCACTATTAAAAATGTAAAGAATTTTATTTGCCAATACAAGAAATTTACAAAGAACAACATAAAAAGGCAGATTACTGTAGGGGCATAAAGGGAAATAGCACCATGACACCAGGTTGTTAAGTCCACTGTGTGAATCAGTAGTAAAATAGATGTTACAGATTTTCCATTACTTTCTTTAATATTTTATGGAACTTTATAAAACAGGAGTTTCTCTGATAGGTTTATAAGCTTACAGTATAGATTCCTGATTTATTCTTTTCTGCTAGGAAGAGTGCTCTTCTTCAAAGGCTGTCTTTGTACAGGTTTGACTGATGCATTCATGCACAATTTTATTGGGAATAATTAACAGGGTATCAAATAAAACCCTATGATTTTATCAACAACTTTAGTGTGTATATTTTAAATATGTGGGTATTGCCAAGATAATATAGTCTACTAAATTTTAAAAATGAAATAAAATTAAATATAATACAGTAAAAAGATCTTAAATCAAATAGTTAAAATAAACTACTGCTTTAAATATCTATTAGCAGAAAACAGAACAGCTTAGCATTGTTGAAGATTTTTTTTTGACAGGAGAAATAGAGCAGCTGCAGATGGAAATAATTTCATCAAGCAGGATACCATTGAGAAAGTTGTTTCTTTGTTGTTTCTGATCTGACCATGATGATAGGACACTGAATATAATCTCTGAACAGAATACAGAAAAGTTCATTTGAATGCATTAGTTTCTCAAATAGCTAGCATTCAAACTTTTAAGATGGTGTCTACTCACCTTAAACACAATTTTGGGCAGCTCACAATAACAATAAAACCCAATGACCGTAAAGTCATAAAACCAAAGTCAAACCCAGTGCCTCAGTCTTCTTCTTGTGATGCCTCACAGCCAACTCCAGCTATACTGATTCTATCCTACTCTTGGGTAAAAGGCCAGTCTAATGGCCTTCCAAAAGGCTAATAGAGTTGGGGCCTGTGCAGCCCAAGGGTCAGGGGGTGTTCCATAAGATAAGGGCCACCACAGAAAAGTCCTATTTCCAATGAAGGTTCCTTTCATAGAAGGAATCTGGAACAAACATACCTAATGTGACCTAGCAAGAAAGACAGATACTCACATCAAAAAGATAGATTTGAAGTTCAAGCTTACATTTTTGTTAACAATTTTACAGAGGCACAAGGTGGCTATGTCTTAGGAATTACTGGCACCTTATATTTTCTTGGGAATCCAGCATTGGTTGCGTGTTTGTACAACTGTTTAACTTGTGATCTAAACTGTCTTGGATCTAAATATTTTTAGAATAGCACTTACAGAGTTGCTAAGTGTCTGAACTTTGATCTCATGACCATGGAATGCTGTGATGGTTATAAGTGTGAAAAATGTTCATAAGTCACCTTTTCAGTGCTGTTGTAACTTTGAACAGTCACTGAATGAATGATTGTAAAATAAGGACTACCTATACAGTACTACCTACTCATAATGGGATTGAATTTTTTTTTACTACTGGTTCTATGGGTATGGCTTGTTGGGCATGGCAGGGGAAGCTTACTGCAAAATCCCCATTCCCTCCCCACCTCACTAACCTGCTTTTCAGCTCCGTTCTCCTGTGCAGGGCAACAAAAGAAGACCCAGCCTATCAGCTGGGACTCAGGAGGCAGAGAAGAGATGGGGGCAGGGCCAGTCAGAGGTGGTATTTGCCAGTTCTCTGAACTACTCAAATTTTCGCTACCAGTTCTCTATAATAATTACCTATAATACATTCATTACAAAAAGGGGTGTGCATAAGCGCATAATCGTGCCTACCATCCTTGTCCTATTGTCCCCAGGTATTAGTTCCTATTTCTTATATTTAAACTTATGTTTATTCTTATTTCTATTGTATTGTAAGCTTTTGACAAAATAAATAAATAATAAACAATCTAATGATGAATTCTGAATAACAATGCACATATCTGAACACAAAGCCAATTTAAATAATTATCTGAAAATCACATTTGCTTTAAGAAAGGATGGTTCAGGTTTCTGGAAAGTGAAGAATAAGAGATTTGGGGAATGTTGAATTTATCAGATATATATCTTTATTGTTCTTAAGGGAGGAACAAAAGAATCTGGTTTACTTGAAGGAAAAGAAAAAAAGGTGATAACAAACCTTACTCTGTTCAGGCTGGCTGCACAACTAGTGACAGATAAAGCCATAAATCAATTACCTTATCAATCTAATTTTCCTGCCTGCCAAATGGGGATTCAGTTTATCAGTGACCTATGTGCTCAGTGCTGGCCTTCACACTTGAGTTGGGCAAAGGATGGAAATAAATGGAAGCTAAATAGCTGTTCTAAAACATGTTCATGTAAACAATCAAAGGTAGGACTTCCTTGAACTGCCAGTTACTTAAATGTAATCCATCTCACTAAACATGTGATAGCAGGGGATCATTGTTATTACAAAATACAAAGCAAAGAACGTAACAACCCATTTTAGAAAATGCAATCTGATAAACTATAGCCAAAAAACTATGTTTATTGTAACAGAAATAGTATGAATAAGGACTATTTTAGGAAGAGGGTGGGGAGATTCTTTAAGCATCTGTCTCACTATGGAACTATTTTCTGAAACCTGTGTTTTTTCATTGTTTTATCCCTTCCCCATATAAAGAATATTAGAAATAACATCAGCCAAGTTAGGGCTAATGTTAAAATTAAGAGGAAAAGGAACCAGACAGCGAAGCGAACAGAGCTACATCTGTAAAACGCACCATCCAATCTAAGTATCTCTGCAGGCTATTCAGAGGAAACAGCATCTGAAAGTTACAAAAGTGACCTTAATTTGAACCAAGGGAATGTGATTATTTCTGAACTGAAATGTTAAAATGAAGTTTGGATTAAATGTTTCACCAAGGCTAATGCCTTCAAACTTCCTTTGGCACTATTCACATTTTCTATGTTAGGTCAGTTTTCGTGGATTCTTTTCCTGTTTTCCCCCCCTCTGCCTTCTTTGACCTTACTATGACATTTTACTTGGTTGGTTAATTACTGCTAAATGGCACTGTGTTTATTGCATAGGATCCTTGTTACTATAATGGCACAGTAACAATGACGCAATTCAGTTTGATAACTTTACATACTGCCACATTGATCAATATCTATTTAATTTGTCATTAAACAAAAAGGATTTGTGATTGGACATGAATGATAATGCTAAAAGTATCATCTGTAAATACAACTATACCCATCACATAATCCCATTTTAGAGCTGGCAGAAGAGAGTGATAGTCCACTTGAACCTAAGTAGTCTTAAATAAGCCTAAGGGCTTCTTTTCTGTTTTTTAGGGAACAAGGTTATTGTATCCCTCCTTTGGCAGACAACATTCATTCCCATTTCTAAGTCCAGAAGGAAAAAAGTTAACAATTAACATATTATACAAAAATATAAGAATTGCTGATCTAGAAGAATAAGGGCCTGGAGGTAGGGTTGAGATCAAGCATATAATATGTTAATTGCTACTGAGGACTTGTTTTACTGTTTTACAGAAATGTTTACTGTTTATGGGTTTTTTCTTTTTCTATTTGTTTTCACTTTGTTAGCTGCCCAGTATGCTTAATGTGAGTTATGCAGCTCTACAAATCAAACCAACAAACAAATAAATCAATACAAAATCACAAGTCCAATCCATGATTGCTACGTACATGCGACCAACAAAGGGGGTCAAAAAAAATCACATTTGCTTTGTGAGGAACCAAATCCCATCCATCTGGCATCAATATTAGAAAAGAAAAAGAAAATTCCCGTTAAAGTAATCATAGCTGCATGGAAAGAAATATGGTTACTTGGCAAAGGCAAACTAGGTTAGACAGATAAAGTCTTTGTTTGGCTTGTTCCAGATGAGACCTAACCTTTGAAGTCTTCCTTCATTTAGATTTTTCTTAAGATAGTATAATTTTCCATTTGTAAACTTCCAGTATTTTTTATCGTTTCTTCTTTTTATTCTTATTGCAGAAAATAAAAAAGGAAAATTATAAGTTTCATAGCGTGCCAATAAAGGAAAACATTTGTAGTTCAGGTTTGAAATGGGGGATCCCTGATGCTATCCAAGCATGATGGTTTTCTTGCAATGTACGGCTTATTAACCTAAGAATGGCATCATCATCATCAAATTTCTTTGTTTAATTCTTGTGCACTATCCATTGTGTTGAGTGTCAAGCTTAATAAAATATTATTCTGATTGGTCACAGCCTGGTAGGATTTGGCATTTTATCCACCTATCAAGTTTTTCCCAAGGACCTGGATTATGCAAATGTGGATGTTTGATGATGTGAAAGGTATTGTTGTAGAATGTAAGCTCTTCCAGATAAAACTTCCTTTTGCAATTGACTAATGGTAATTTGTTCAATCTGATGGTATCCAGTGGTGCTCCAGTTGTTTTGGGAATGCATTGAAGGTACCTATTACTGTTAGTACTATCTTTGTTTTCCTTTGTCACTGTTGTCTATTTCTATTTGAATTACTTTTTATTTTGTTATCTTCTCTGGTTCTTTTTTTCCAGGTACTGCTGAGTCCAGTATCCAGGGTTTTATTTATTTTTTGCCTTTTATCAACAATTGTTAAATCTGGTATTATCTGACAGGTGCTTATCTATTTGAATTCTAAAATCCCAGAGCACTTTAACTTCTTCATTTACTATTACTTTCTCTATTTTCTGATTATACCAGTTCTTGCTTGCAAGTGAACTATATTTTTGCAGATCTTCTGATGCATTCTTTGTCATGTTATTGTTTGTAGTCTTCTGCAATCTTCTTGCAGCAGCTTGTCAGGTTCACTGTTTCTTCAGTTTCTCATTATTATTATATATATTATACATACTATACCAATGCTAATATTTTATTCAGCTTCTGCATAGGTTTTTGAATTGCTATGAATATGCAATATAAATATGCAAAAATTTTCATATTAGAAATATAAGAAAAACATGTTAATAATTATTTGTAATTTACATTAGACTGGGAGAAAAGTGTTTATTCAATTTAACAATCATGGTTTATTATGGATTTGAAATATGTTTCCATTTAGTAAATGTTTGTTTCCACGCACCCACTTGCAAATCAAGGACAAAAGAAGAATAAATTCTACTGCATAAAAAACAAAACAAAAATATGTATAGAGATGATAAGTTGAGTATCAGTGGGTATTGTATATACAAATTGCCTTGACATAATTAGCCTTGCTAACTGACAAAAAAAAAACTTAATACAACTTAATACAACTATAAAAAACTAAAAAATGCATTTTCAGTCAACAGGCATAGAATGGCCATGAAATAACAATAAAGAATAGGGCAATAATTAATTTGGCTTTAAAATGGTTTGTCATTTTTAAAGCTAATTAATGTAGGTTATATCATTAAAATCAAATTCAGTATATAAAATCTAACAGAGCCAGTTTGATGCATTCTTTAAAGCACCAGGCTACAAACTGGAAAACTCTGAACTCTAGTTCTGCCTTAGTCACGAAAGTGGCTGAATGAGGCCAGTTACTCTTTCATAGCCCTATGAAAAAGAAAAGTCAGAGGCATGCTATTTCCAAAAACAGTGCAAGAAAACTGCAGGGACCACATGCAGCATTGCTTCACAGAACAAATTATATCATTGATATATAAAAATAAGTGAACATGTGGTTTAAACTCTTTGTCCCAGACACTATGTTCATATACTAACAGATTTATCAGACTGCCTTTTCCAGGCTTATTCAGCATCTGTGGTGTAACTCTGATCAGCTGACTTTAGTAGCCCAACTAAGACAGCTCTCTGCGGTGAAACTTGCTAGGCACCTATCTATATGGCAAAATGCTGCAAGTAAAAACCTGCATGGACCTGTCCCATCCATTGGCAACTTCCTGGTTTATTTTTTATCATATTGCCAAACAAGATACATTGATAACCTATCGCCCTCCATATTTTTTGTCTTTTAAGTTCCATGAACATTAAAATGTAGATGGCACTCCCACTCATCTTTAGTAAACATCAGGACATTGTGACAAAAATGAATTAGTAAATCTGTAGAAGGCTGTCATCTGGTGATTGTGTTGTCATGTTACAAGATAATTTCCCAAGGAAATTCAGAAATCGTTTATAGGCACTTTATTGACAGCTCCCAAAAACCTAAGGGGATACTTAAACACTTTAAATTTAAAATTAACTTTTTTTTTTTAATAACCACTTTGCATTCAGATATTTTTCCATGTATTATATAAAGATCAAATGAAATTCAGGTTCATTTTTTAAAACTAACTTCTGTGCATATTTGATCACATATATTTTAAGCCCAAAGGACTTTTGGGGTGAAAATCTATGTAAAATATATATATTAATCAAAACAACATTTTAATATTGTATGTCAGATTGCATGTAGTACCATTGTCAACAAAGGTTAAACTCAAAACATTAAATCAATAATATTGCTTTGAAAATGGGAATGTGATTATATGAAAAATACTTTATCTAATTATTTTTCTCCCACAACGTTAAATACCAGATAATGTACCATCTGGAAACTTTAAAACACTCCTGACCAGAGGCTAAACACCAATAACTCTTAAAATCTAAGTGAAATATTAAAGTCCCTAATCACAACCCTTTCCAGAAAATTAGTTTAGGTGATTTTGGCTACTGATAAGAATATTTAATGTTCCTCAGTTTTTGTAGAGTCTTTTCAGATGGCTGTAGAAAATGAACTCATCCTTACTAATTGGGTCTAGAAATATAATGAAGTTTCTCAGAGGCATCTCTTTAAATTAGCAGTAGTCAAAAGCAAGATTCAACTCAATAAAGTGCTTGGCCCATAGTGCAGAAGAATAAATCACATAAACAAATCTCATTATTTCAAATAATGATTTACTTCTTAACGCTAATTTGGCTTAGGTGCTAGAGATGTATGTTAACAGTACCTAACAAAGGAACCTCCTCTGGCACATAAATATGCTAAAAACATTATTGGTTTAATATTGATGAAATCACAAGGGTATTTTTAAGAAAGGGTGGATTACTTAATTGCCTTAATTTCTTGACCTCGGGTTACTGTGTAAAGCAAAATGTTATTATTAGATTACATTCAGCTAAGATTACTTGCCATGGAATATTTCAACTTCTGCCTTTGATAGCGTCAAAAATACTATATGGCTAGTTCTAAGTTAGTAGACTCTTTTTTTCTATGTGCATAATCATTGCATTAATGAAGAGATTTGAACATTACCCCACCCTGCCCTCCCAGGAGTCCCCCTGCATGCCCCATTTTGACTTCCAGGCTGGTGCAGGAGGCTCTCCAGGCCCAAAATGGGGCACCGGGGGGGGGGCATCATGTGGCCTCCTCTGTCCTGTTTTGGCTTCTAGGGTGATGCAGGAAGCCTTCCAGGTCCAAAACCCCTGCTCTAGGATGAGTTGGGAATGGGGATTTTGCATGATCATTACTGTGGGGTGAGTTGGGAATGGGGATTTGTGTGTGATGGGCTTGCGAGTTCTTTTGTTGTGGTATCCTGGGTCCTGTGCTGTAATCTCCTGGGTCGTTTGTGTTTTGATCTCTTTTCCATTAGCCTCCTGTGTAGTAACGGCTTGGATAATGGGTTGTGTGATGATCTTGTGAGATTTATTGCTGTGTATCCTTGGTCTTGTGCTGTGATATCCTGGGTCATTTGCTGTGTTGCAACTTCTTGAGTTCTTGTGGTGTAATTTCCTGAGTTTTCTGATATGATGTCCTGAACGGGTGGCTGTGATGTAGCATTCTGGGTTTTAGTCTGGCTTCGAGTTTGGGGTTTGGGTTGTGTTATTGGCGTGTGTTTGGTTTTGGAGTCCGGGGGTGCGACAGCTGGCAAAGCAGCCGTGGTCTGTTTTCTGGATGGTGGGTGTCCTTTGTTTATAGGATGGGCTTGGGCCTGAGTCTGATGAGAGGGATTGGCAGTGGTGTCTGTTATGTCCCTGGAACTTAAAGAAGTTCCCACCCAGGTCCGTTCGTGATACGGGGGCGGTTGCCCTCTCTCCCATTGGTTGGTTCTCCCCAGCAGCCAGCTATAAAAGCAGGCTGCGGGGTCCAACCAGTTGCTGATCACTGCGAGCCAGTTCCAGGCTTGGCAAGCACGGTCAGTCCTTTATTATTCTAATAAAGTATTTGTTGCATCCATGCCCTGGTTCAGCCTCTCATTTCCCGAACTTAACACTGGCGACGAAGGTGGGATGGCGACCAGAGGCACAATGCAACCACTGAATCACTAGCCGCTGATCCGCAGCCAGAGAGAACGATCAGCAGGCAATAAGAGCAAACGCTGATCCGCAGCTAGAGAGAACGATCAGCAGGCAAACAAGAGCGAACGCTGATCCGCAGCCAGAGAGAGCGGTCAGCAAGCAGCGAGAGTGAGAAGCGTCTGTAGCCGCTTGTTAGCCAAGCTACAGGGAAAGTGAAGCGCTGCAAGCCGCAGCCGCTCGTT